CCCCAAAACCCCAAAACCCCAAAACCCCAAAACCCCTAAGGGTAATATTCAATTGAATATTGAATAAATTAATATTACTAAGTAAAGGAGAGGGTAAACAGTAATGCACACCCATTAGAAACTCCTTCATGGTAGATATTGCCTATTTATAGCATGTTTTATGGCACCCTCACTTCTTGAAAATAGGTTTTAGTAGTTATAAAAATCTCTACCAATAGAAGACAGCTTACGAGGTTTAGATTTCTTTGTAGTTAGACCTTCATCACGACGCTCAACTTGCAGACCTTCATGCGGTAGCATCCCTTTAGGTGTTTTCATCTGGACAGGAGTCATTGGTGATTGTATGCTGAATCTTCCACAAGAGGACTTTCGTGGAGCTTTGAATTCATTGACCTCAAGCCTTCGTAAATGATCGAATCCAATTGAAGAGCCAGCTACATTCTTTAAGTACTTCATTTCTCTTTCTTTATTTAATTTTTCTTGGATCAGATTTGGGTGAAGTTTATGCTGTGTGTTACTACCCAGAGTAAAATGATTAGTTCCAGGAATATTCTTACAGCTACTCCTCTTTTCTTGAATCAGAGTCTCTCTGGCAGAAGGCAGGACATATTCTGAAGAGTCTTTTAGATCATCAGTCTCTTTACTCAGTGAATATTTTATTTCAATTTTCTTATTCGGGTTGCATTTATGCATAAATTTCTGAAATTCTGCTTTTTCAGAGGGTGTAATGCCATTGTTTTCCTCAGATATAGTTATACTTGAGCTGTCATCAAACCGAGTCATTCTGATAGGAACATCAAATTTCCTTGCTTCCGACTTAAACAACTCTATCGGATTACTATTATGCTTAAGTTGGGCTGATTTTAAGAACGGTGAACCTGAATCTTCACTGATGAAAGCCTTTTTAGTAGGTTTCATCATGTGGTTATTTGTTCAATCGATCCGCTTTGGAGGTAATTTCCTTCTAAACCAACAATAATGGCTAATGGCTTACTTCTTTTGATTGGGAATGCTGGTCTTAGACTTGCCAAACCCTCTGATCATCTTTGTACTAGCCTTTGCATTAAGCTGCTTGGGCTCCCTAGATTTATGATAAATGTTCTAGTTTTGAAAATTCATATGGAGTAGGCCCACGTTCTTACTTCTGATAAGAAAATATTCAATTGTACATTTAACTTACATTTTGGTAGATTTTATAGTCTGAATCTTTGCTTTCTTGGACAATTTGGAGCTGAGAGGCCTTCCTGAAGAGAGCTTCCTCTTCTTTGAAGAACTCTTAGTATGATTCAGACTTGGGTTAAAAGATCCTCCTGCTTTTAAAAATCGTGAATTATGCTTGTTTGGGTATAAACTGTGAGGCTAAAAAGCTAAGAAAATTGAATACCTTTGTCTTAATCATGATATCAGGATGAGAGAATAGCTTTGATTGGTTTTTTATCTTCTTTGTAAATTTCTTACTCTTAGCTAATTTTTAGCAAGGTAACTTTACCTTTCTTAAGCGCACTTGAGTTGTACAACACGTTTTTACTATAAGCATCAAAAGATTCAAGATCTTTCTCTTCTTTCTTTGGAGTAGGTGTGAAATCTAAGAATTCTTCTTTGATAATCTGATATTTATACTCATCCAGCAACGATTCCTTATTTTTCTCAATGAATTTATTTCGTAAAACTGCGAAGGTGAATACCAAATTTTGCACATTTTTAAATTTGTCATACAATTTATTAGTCATCTCTATCTGATCATGGAAGTTAAGAGGGACAATACCATTCTCGTCCCTCGTGATCCAGGGATGAATCAAGGCATTAGCACACTGATACCTGAGATTTGCTTTAACTTCTCATAACTTTCCAAAAAGGTTGGCTGCCTTCTCCCAATAATGCTCTTCTAGTAGCTTAAAGTTGAGATCTTTCTTCTTCAATTTTGATATTTTCTTCATGTAATAATCAACTCCATCTAAAATTTTACCAAAATCTTACCATTATTAGTATCTTCAAGCATAGAAGTCACTGGATGTTTACCGAAAGTGAGAAGATAGAACATAACAATTCCTGTTGCCCAGATATCAACCGGTTTACCATATCCTTGTCCAAGAGCTTGCTCTGGAGACTGGAACATTCGAGTGCCTCCTGCCTCTGTGTTATATTCATAAATTCCCTCTTTGTCCTTTTTGGCCAGCCCAAAGTCACAGATCTTAACTTGATAATCAAAAGATTCCTTGTGAGTGTCATGAGTTGAGCCAGTAAGTCGAGAGTCGTTGTACTTGACAATATTGAATTCCTTATCTTCTTCAGAGTCATCATCAAGATTATCAATACTGATCTTATGTGTCAAACTTCTTCTGTTCTTCTGCAAGAGTATGTTGCCAGGCTTGATATCCCGATGCATGATGTCTTTTGTCTCATGTATATACCTTAGTCCTTCCAATATTTGCTTCATAATATCGGCTCATTCAGCTTCATGAGTTTTGTAAAACTTCTTGAGTGCTCAATGATCAAGTTTCTTGCAGTAAGAATGTGCTCAATCTGATTTTGACTTCTTCTTCTAAGTAATTCAGCTATCAAAAGCTTACCACAAGTGAAAGATGCGATTTAATCTTCTTTTGTTCAGCCTTTTCTATCGCTTCTTTGAGGAGTAATCTATAATTCCATGGATTTTTGTTAAATGTATGTAAAAATACCTTTCGTCATCTTTAGCCTTTAACCATTGTATCAGAGAGCCTTCTTGGCACCACTCAATGGCTAAAACAAAGCAATTGGAATACTCTTTAAAGTATCTGAATTTAACAATATTTTTATGATTTGAGCTTTCAAGAATTTTAGCTTCAGTTTTCAAAGAATCCAAGACTTTAGTTCTAGACTTATTTGTGATCACCTAAATTTTGAGAGTTAAGCGAATGAGCAATACCTTGATTGCTAGGTCTGTCTTGAATCTCTTGTCATATACAGCCATTACAAAGCCAAAGCCTCCAACGCCTAATATTTTATTTGAACTTATATAGCTTGTTAAACCTATATTTTATCGTTATTGAGGCTTGAGAAAGTCTCAAAAGGCTTTAAACTTCCTATTTCTTCAGTTTAATTTCATGAACGAGCCAGAATTTTAACTTAAGAAATTACTAGTAATTTCTGGACTAGGTATTGTATCAAATGAAGATGCTCTCAATTGAAATTTGAGAAGAAAACTTCTAAGTTCTCAATTAAACTGCAATTTTTTCTGAAGTTTGCTCGGCTCAATGTAAATCCCCCATAATTCTGGGAAATCACAGGTAAATTTTAAGGAAAGTTTGAACTTTGAACGTTGAAGGCTTGGAAAATGGAATGATTATTGTTGCTAAAAAATTGAAAAATTCCAACTGTGTAGACAACTTCAGAATAAGAGAAGAAGATCCACAGAGAGATGACGCTAATCAAGCATCTTAATGAGCATAGTCATAGAGTTTAAATATGCTTTGTAAGGGCATGGTAAGGTAATGTTTAACAGCAGTTTCTTGTAAATTTATCAATAACTCATAGACATATTATCTAAGTCCGAAAGATTTAAGCTATCTTATGGTGAATATCATGATTTTAAAGAGTTGCAATATACACTTACAGGATAGTTCCTCCTCCATTCATATCTTCAAACAGGAAGTCATTTATATCGGTGACCCCAAGCATAGTGGTCATCTTCCTCAGCTGAATTTCAGTTATACCAGCGTTCATTTTTGTTATTTAATTATATAATTAGAAATTTTAGCATTTTATCCCTCAACCTTGTCACACCTCCTTGGGGTTTTGGGGTTTTGGGGTTTTGGGGTTTTGGGG